TTTAAACAGTGAGCAAAAGCTGTCTACTAGTTTAGCTTACACCTAAGTGACAGCCAAACTCTGTCGTGAGAACCCACAATAAGATTGTTGGTCACAACTGACCTTCATGGTCATCAGCCAGCAGAAACCCAGATGTTGTTTTTGTCTTACGGATACACAACTGTCATACTGCACATCATAGTGAATACTAGCGTCCAAAACAAAGCCATATCAGTCATACAGTGTCTTTTTAAAATGTGCTTCATAAAGAATGTTGAAAACTCTTTAGCCCAGCCAATAAGTGGCTTTTACACTGATACTATTATTTAGGATCTTAAAAATTAAAACAACATATTAAGGATATCGCGAGTTGTTTTAAAAATTCCTATTCTGACATTAAATAAACCTCTTTATAGTTTTTTCGACTAAAATCATTTGTTTTTGACTGAACATTTCCTAGCTGTACAGTATATGACTGATGCGAGTACATCCCTGTACAATATGCCTTAAATGTCAAATGATTCAGAATTGTATCACGGTATTGTAATTACAGAATGGATTCCTGCAGGGAAATCACATCTTCATATAGAGACTTAAGATGCTTAATAACTTTATCCCTCTTGATAGTATGCCAATGCCCCTTGGCATTTCATAACTTTGTGTTCCACTGTGACATCCCTGCATGTAAAAGAAAGAGATTCTTACAACTGAACACAAACATAATCATTGTGAAGTGAGTGGAAGTCTCATAAAGGCATATTATATAAAACATGTCTGAGCTATAGCTAACAATGGGGGGGTGTAATCATGCACAAAAACCCCAGTTCAGTACATACCTTGGTTATGAGGTCTGTTTTTGATACAGCAAAAACAAGAGATACAAAACAATAATACAATAATAAGTCGGTCAGTACAGCTGCAACCCGCAAACAAAAAATGAAAGGCAGCAGATTATAATAATTTAGAGGTTGTAACGACATAATGGCTAACATGTTTGGTTGAATGAAATTGCTTAAACATAAGTTATTTGTTTAAATTGTAGTGAGCAAATCATTTTTATGTTAGCAAGCGTTAAACAGCATCAAGGCCTGCAGGAAGGCCAGACTAGAGCAGTCAAGGCTGTTTGCAGAATGATCTTTGCTGTGGTGTGTCTAATCTCTCATTTTAATTGCATGTATTTCCTTCCATTAGGAAACCTTGGGAAACTTCTGGCTGTTTTTGACTGCAGCCTATGGGCCTTATGTTTGAAGTTGCTCCCTGAAAAAAGTGAAGAGGTAGCACATTATTTGGACAGTTTTACTCACAGCGGGCATTGGGAAGCAACATTTTGCCTCCTGCTGGATCTGTTGGAGGTGCTGTCTGCATCCAGTTTGGTCTGTGGAGCCCATGTCTGTCTGAAGAGTCAGAGAATTACCTGCATTCGCTCTGCAGCTCTCCTGACAATGATCAGCTGCTCCTCAGAGGGTTTTCTCAAAAGGCGAGCACTGCTGCTCCTGAAAAAAACTGTGCTTCAGAAGGTTGGAGAGGACTGGGCTTTAGGAGAACTGTTGTCCACTGGACTGAAATATGAGAACTTCAGCTCTGACATGACCATGCTGGCTCAGAGTGTGTTAACAGCAGTTGATAATAATTGGTTGCAGAGTGTTCAGGTGGAGCCTGCTGCTTTCTTTGGAGGGAGCAGACACGTGAAGATGATGGGAGATGAAGGTCAGGAACCAGACTGTGTGATGCTGAGAGCTGTCAGCCTGATTCTTCTTAAGTCCATAGAGCTTCACATCCAAACAGCTGGCAGAATGGGTGAGAATCCATAATGAAAAACACAACATTGGTAAAAATACAGTACACATTGTGTATTGCCGTGAATGCTGAATTAAAGCTACGTGAGAACAGCTTGAAGGAGAGCAATGAGTTTGAGCTAAATTTTATCAAGTGTCAGGTTGTTTTGATCATAGCAACATCTGACGTTTCTGGTCAGCTGTGGCAGCACATAGAGCTGTAAACACCACACTGACACATAACCTTTTGTAAGATTGCATGTCAAATGTTTTTGCTAACAGCTGCTTGTTACAAATCCAGCAGACAACAGAGCAACATTAGCCTTCTTTTTTTTTTGTTTGCTACTGATGAACATTAGTCCAATATTCACTCTTCCAGTAACTCCACCAACTAAGACAAGGACCAAAATCTGGCTGCTGGATTCTGTGTTCTCCAAGCATCTCTGTTTGCTAGTGATATATTTTGTCACTAATTTATTCATGTATTAGTGATATATGGTGAGTTTATCCCAGCATCCCAGGCAACTACCTGCTGCAGCTAGGATAAGGTCAATGAAAGTGCCGAGGCTAAAATTAAATAGCAAAGTTGTGGGCTATAAAACCAGAACATTAAGCTGAAAGACACTAAAGTGGAGTTGTGAGAAACAATAGAGTTGATCATTCTCTTTTGGTTCATTGGAATGAGCATTGTTTTCATACATTAAACGCAGTCATTTGACCTGTTAGTGTAAAACACGGTTGTTTAATTTGGCCGTAGGGCAGCTACAGTATATTAATATTTCTGAATAACAAGGCATCAAAAATAATGTGAAAGGGGTTGCACATACTGGTAAACCTACAGACAATTGTCACCAGAATCTTCAGCTTCCCTTGACTTTGTGAAGTTTTTTTTGACCAACAACTTTGCTGTTTTAGTTCACTGTCACTGCTTTCATAGTGTAGCTGGCAGCAGTTTCTCATGATAAAGTTGTAAAAATGCAACCACAGACAGATACAGCAAGTGACTAGCTAGTAAATCGTGTACCATGTGTTAAATGGAAAATTAGAGATATTACAGCTGTGGGGGGAAATTATAATAGTTTTGAGCATCCAATAACTTTTTAAAAGAAGGAGAAAAGAACCTCATCACAACTGCTTTTACTTTAAGGTAATATTAATGTTTGAATGATAATGTGGGGTGTGCAGTTTTCACAACAAGAAATAGATGTGCTCTGTCACTGACACATGACATCTTCAGCATTTGTTATGCATCAGTAATTCTGGACACCCTGTGTTACAACATGTCAGGGGCTCTCACAGGTATGTTGAGTTGAGTGGCCTTGCCAAAACACTTTGTGTCTTCTCACAACAGGAGTGGACAGCACCACAGAGGTTTATGGATATCTACAGAGTTTGTGGAGCTTCCTGAGGCGGTCTAGTGTCCAACTGACTGAGGTCACTCACCTCTGCTGCTGGATCAGTCTGCTGTTTGGAGAGCAGGATGACGACATGATGGAGGCAGCCAAAGCAGTGCTCTCTATATTCCTCAGTCAAAGGTACAAAAGATAGACAACATAGATAACAACACATAACAGATGGATGTGGCATTTATCTTATTAACAGTACATGCAAAGAAAGTGAATAGGAAAACATATTTGATTGGTCTGGATTTCTGGACGTTTATATTTTTAACCGAAAATCTATGAAGTGCAGCTTAAAAATGTTCATGTTGGTTGCATTGGTGCAGTTAAAAACACTTGCTGCATGATAAATGGCTCTGACTGTCTGCAGTAAGCCAAAACAGCATCAGAAGTGAAAACAAAATTGAATACTGGTCATAGCAGAGCTGCCTTTTACTAACTTTTTCTGTTAAAAGTATAGAGCATTTATTTGCACCTTTATTCCTGTTATCATTTACATAACCTGGTAATGGTAATGATAATGGTAGTGATAACAACAATGCTTCAGATGAGTTATCCAGCATTAAATGACACAATGAAAAATTTGGGGATGTATTGTGCTGATGCACCTAATTGAGAAAGTTAAGTGCACAATGCAACCATTGTGAAACGCTAGAGCCCTGTATGTCAAACCTTTCAGACATGTTTTATTAATATGGAAATCCTGTGCTTTGAATATTATTCGGAGTCTGCCTTTGTAATTACCTGACTAAACTGGAAAAGTCTAACTACTGGGCAGAATGTCTGCTACTTCACTGTCTGTGATGTTACCATCCCTTCAGCCAGAGGAGAACAGAGTGACAGTGAAATAAACTGCTTCTGTCCAGTGGACGGGCAGCTGCTGTGTTTTCAAAATGAGCCAATTTAACTGCTTACCTCTTTCCTACAGACTACGTTGTGGGTTGGATGATGCTGCTGCGTTTGAGGCTGCCTGTGCATCTGGCTGCAACCCTCACTGCCACTTTGTGCTTCTGCTTCAGAGCATCTCCTTTGACCACAGCATCCTCCTTGACTTCCTCATCTCCACTGAAACCTGCTTTCTGGAGTACTTTTTGCGATACCTCAAGTACCTCCGAGATAACTGGCAGAGCTTTATTGCAGCATGTGGAGGCATCAGTGTGTCAGACTGTTATTCTTCATCACAGCAGTCACTTAGTGCCTCAAGTGCTGATGATGGGGTTATATTGACATATAAAGGTGAGGGAGACGACACTGAATTCAGTTCAAGTGTCCAGCTCACAGGTATTAATCCATTAATGAATAGGGTCTGTTTGGCTGCAGAAGTTCGCCTTGTAGAATATGATAGTTCTGATGAGTCTGATCCAGATAACAATGAAGATTCTGAGGTTGAACCACGAGCGTCTGTGTGTGAGAAAAGTAGATTTAGTGCCTCGGATGTAAAACAGGAGACCACTGGACTACCATTATCTATCAGACAGAAACAAAATGAGTTACCAACAGTATTATGGGTTGAACCTAACTCTACCCTGGAAAGAAAACCAGAAGGTTCATCACTGCCAGTGTTACAAAATCAGCAAACATCATGTGCAAACATGGCACCTCTCTCAGGGCAGGCAACTTTTGAAACATTATCCAGAACAGTCCTCTGTCTGTCGGAGCTCAGAGAGGTGGTGACGAGGCTTCACACAAAGGAACTCTTCCCATATAACCCTTCTTCACTTTTAAAACTCCTAGCACAAGTAGACAACTGTTACCAGCACTCACATGTGTCACACAATAAAGGGAGAATATAAATAGTGGGTGTTTCAGTTTTATGTGGTGGCATGAAAGATGCATGTTTGGACAAGATACATATTTTGTTTTTATTTGAAGAGAAAGGAAGTAAATCGAACAAGAGACATTACAAAACAAGCATTTCTTCAAATGGTAATGACTGCCACACAACTCCAAAGCACAACACTGTACTCCACTCCCATGTTTAACAGCTTTTTTTCATCAAACTGATGATTGTGGCCGAAGATCTCATTTTGACCTAATCTGCCCATGGCACTTATGGTCCTGCATCACTCCAGCATCAGCTCCAGTCATCCTTCCTGCAGCTCCTCTGCAGCTACATGGGATTTTTGCTTTATCTTTCTGCCAAGCAGACATTCTGTGTTGTACGTGTTTCTTGGGTTTTCCAGATCTTGTCTTTGCTTCCACAGTTTTCTTAATGCTTTTCTGACAGACATTTTGAACAGTGGAAACCTTGAATTGGTTTGATTATCTTTTTATGTCCCATCCTTGTTTTCTAGCCATATTTGCTTGACTTTGTCTGTTGCAGGGGTTGTATTTACTTTGCTGTATTTACTTACAGTATTAAATGTTTTTTGAGTTTGAATTCATGTGATTTGTAGCTTCCTACTTAAATCAATCCAGAGTTTAGGTGCCCTGACGGTAAAAGCCCAGTCCCTCTTGTCTTAAATATAGATACAGATACAGCAGTTTCTTGTCCTCAGGTTGGTGTGGTAGAGCTACTCTCAGTTACAGTCTGGAGCGTGGCTATGAAAATCTTTAAAAGTAATCAAAATGTTTTGAAATCCTAAAACCAATCAGTAGCCAGCTGCATTCTTTACAAACATGCTGGAGTCTACTGAGTAACAGCTGTTAGGATCATTGTGGCATTCAAGTTGTAATGAGACAAAGGTGTGTAGAAGAGCTTCTGCATCATTAAGACACCCAGTATGCAAAAGATGTGAGTACACCCATGTGCATGATTAGTTAAATTTCAAATAATGAAACATTTTAACACCGTTGTACAGTAATTGCATTATTTTTAGGTGGAACAGTAGGCTGTATACTCTTTTGAAAAAATGTAAAGCTAAGTTTTGATTTGCTATATTGAAAGTACAAGTCCCACAGTAGGTACTCAGTACAATAATAGTACATGTTTCATCACAGAGATTCAAGACTCTTTTTTTAATTTTTATTTATTTTTTGGCCTTTATTGGATAGTGTAGTCAGAGAGAGACAGGAAAGTAGGGGAGGACATGTGGGAAAGGGACATGAGTGGGATTCGAACTCATGACTCATGAGCGCTATGAGATGACTTGTTGTTGTAAATAGGCGCTATACAAATAAAATTGAATTGAATTGAATTGAATGACCTCCACATTGGGACTGTAGCCCTGCACATGGGATGCCAGCTCAACCAGGTGAGCTATAGCGGCGCCCAAGACTCTTTTTTTTTTTTTAAGTACTTTGTATGGTGATAATTAATAACATGATAATGACAGATTTAAACCAAATCCAATGCAGCAAAAATTTCTGGAAAGATGTTCTTGCAAATCCATCCATCCATTATCTATACACCACTTAATCCTCACTNTGTGGACCATTGTGTCATATAGGTTTGGAGAATAAACAAAGTAAAACAGAACATAACAAACACCACAGACATGAAAGTCTTGGCCAGTTCCTCTTAGAACGTTCCTATAAATTTACAGTTGACTAGGTGTAATGTCTAGGAAATCAAATGGAAGTATAAGTTCTATGAGTGGTGTGCCGTCAGGGCCAGTAAGGCTTTCTCTGCTGGCCTAAACTCTTATCAAAATCACTACCTTACGTTGTAAAATTTTCCCATTTATCTTTTAACTTTATTCCTAATCATCCATTCTCTTCATTTAATAGCATGTCTCTGGGCTGTGTTGCTTCCAGGAGTGTATATTTATATTAGAACTTTTTTTTTTTATCCAATCATGTTTCAGCCATCATGTGTTGCCAGGGTCACAGAAATCTGCCCTGAGACCTTTAGAATCAAAAGTGCTGGCCCTTTGTAGCAATGCACTGTAGTGAAACTGTTGCTTTAACCAATCAGATTGAGAGTTGGTGGTCCCAGGGCCAGCTAGCTGGCCTACCATGACGTCAGCACTGTCACGTCCTCTGATTGGATGGTCAGAGATCTTAGCCAAAGCTAACGATTCCTGTCTGTAGTGACCTGCACAAGCTAAATCCTTATGGCAAAAGTATTCCGTTTTTTTGAGGGGGGGGGGGGGTTTCTAAGTTAAGCACCGCATGTTCTCAGCCCTACAGCGATTTAAAACTTATGGCAGAAACACGACTGGATGACTTTCAGCATTAGCCTCTATGGCAAAAAAAACAGGACTTATTGTTGAAAGTGAAACGAAGGATTACCTGTTCAACAGAGTGATTGAACCGTTTATGATGAAAGAAAGGAGGATGGAGTTGTGTTCAAATAATCACAGGTTAAGGTGAGTAAAATATATTTTTGTCATATTATTTGTGATGCTCTTGTTAGATGTGCAGGTTCTCACCTGAAACTTTTGACAGCGTGGGGGTTTCTTGATGGTTTCTATAGCCGTGGCATCAGAGTGACGGTGTTAAGCAGTGGTTTGCAGGTAGAACGCCACTGAAGGCCTAGGAGTGAAATGCACGGCCTGCCACTGAGTTCTATACATCCCATA